GAGTCCGACTGTTGGTTTGTCCGATGGCCATCGTGATTTCTTCCGTGGTTGATGGAGTGACATCTATAGGAAGGTGTGTGTGTGTGCTGCCTCAATGTCTGGTGGATTGATTGGAGCTGGCCTATTCAAGAGTTCCTCGAAGTGCTCTACCCATCTGTTCCTCTGTTCTTAAATTTCAGTGATTGTCCTGTTTTGGTAGGTGCATAACATTGTATAAAATTCATCGTGATACCGTCATCCTTTGTTTTGAATTATCCTTTGATGATTGTGGATCCATCGAGATTCCCATCTTGTGAGTTCATTATGTGCTTCTATGAACAGCATCAGAGCAACTTTCTGAGTGTGTGATGCATTCTTTTCTTCGTGACCAGATTACAGCAGCATCTCTTCCATATCTAGCCTTTTGGTGTTCTGTTTGATTCCAATGGGCTTCACTTATTCCGAGCAGTGTCAAGATGTATCTCCTCATTTCCATAAGTATTCAATTGGTTCTCCAGGTCTTTCACATTGTCCGAACATTCTATCTATGTATATTGATTATTGCTCTGAATTTTAGAAGGGTCCTCGGCTTCGTGACTTACAAAGAATTTGGGCGTTTACCATGAGCTGTCATAATTCTTCTGAATGAAGATGCTTCAACTCGGAGGACAGAGTTGAAATAATTTAAATTGTGCTATGTGGTTAGTGTTGTTTTAGCAAGATTGTTTCATATGGGATCGGAATTCTGACTCAATACTCAATCTTCCTTCTCTGTGTGGGTTTGGCACCGGCAGTAGTGCTAGAAGAGCTACAGGTGGAGTTATTGTTGATATTCAGGATTGCAATTATTCAGTCTTGTTTTCCATATTTGCTTTTTGATATATTGCTTCAATACATTTGTTATGTTTCATATGTGACAACCAGATCGGTCTTAAAAATTGACAAACATCTCATTCCTTCACAGGTTATTTATCACATATTCCGTGTGTTAGTGATAACTCCCTCTCTGACTGAGTCATAGGATTGAACGCTTGTCCTAAATTCCACTACTAGCTATATACCATATACACTAAGAATTCTAACCCGACAGTAGCCGAATAAACTCGAGTAATGAAAACAACAAAATAATGTTGAGACTCAAAATGGTTCATATTAGTCATCCCAAAATTAACGATTTGATTTTATATGACAAACAACAATTCTTGATTAACATATTACAATTTTAAATGATGCACACTGCCTTAAATCTGGCCAATTTTATGGTTGATTAATTTAGATTTATAATTGTAGAACTTGGTGAGAAATTATTGAAAAGAATGTTCTTCCCTCATATAATTGTGTTTTAATATCAGGATATTCTAGGACCGATGCCATAACTCTTCTTAATTCACCGCTAGTCCCTTTTACATAGGCTGTAAACACAAATTCACATGAGGGTATTTGCGTGTTTGGTATAGGTCCCACGTTAATTTTCATTTTCGACATATTGTTTCTATTTTAAACTATAACCTAATCGAGTTCTGTTACGCTTTAAGTTATCCACAAATCTTATCTGTTATATTGTTAATAAGATGTACAATTTCAATATTGAATTGAACAGTTTTCATTATTTTTGGTTTATTCCAGCCACAAAAGAATCGTCTACTTTAGTCAGACGTATAAATGATAATGTTGACATGTTAGCTGAACAAAGCAATACAAATGAATTAAAAGTTGTTGGACAACTTGTCTATTCATTACAGTTAGAAGATTTTGGTGCACATACTGTAGATAGTAATGCAGCTGTATTGGATATGACAAAGGGATTAGTTCATCAAATAAATGATGAAATCAAGGTAAGTGATGCAAACTTTTCTTTAAACTTGTAACTCAATAGTAAAATGATTTATCACTTTCGAAAGTTTGAAAAATTTCGAGATTGTCTTCATGGCTTCAGTAGTGAAATTGACTGAGAGAATATCAAAGATATAAAAATGCAGGACAGTTGTTTTGACATGATTTTTACACTTAATTAATGGTTGTAATTGAATCAATGCATAGATTAGTAACATTATCTTCTATAAAATGTTAACTAGGATTCCTTCCACTGATCAAAGAATAATAATATGGAAGTACTTGACTTATTCTAAAAAATCTTTAACTGTTTGTTAGTAAGAAGTATAAATTAGACTAATTTTTCGTGATATGTTTCTTCGGTAGTTGTTAGTATTTCTTTGATATGGTTCAGAATCCGTTCCAATGAAGCAGATGTATTGACTCACTGTCTTCCCTTAATTGTTGTGTTTGGAAGTCATCCTAAACATTTTATTAAGCAAATTCATTCTTCTCGAATCATACTGTCTATGCTTAGTCTTTCTTTTACCACTTAAGAAACTGTTACTATTATTAATCCAATGTTTGCCTTGATAATTTTATCTCGTTGTGGTGATATGGTCTAGCAACTTGAACCGATGTACGCATTTCCTAAGTTTTAGATTACATGTGACTAAGTAAACAATTTTTCTATTATACCTACTTTGTGGTCAATCCCATAAATAGTTCAAATTAAAATGTTACCACCAGTGAAGTGCTACTAATGTTTTGCAAGTTTGTGTTGAACACAACATACGTTGTCGTGTCTGCTACAGCCAAAGAATCTACAGTCCACTTTTGCCTGTGAGGTTCTGCACCCTCTAGACAAAAAAAATGATTAGTGATAAGTTCAATAATTTGGGTGTTTCCTAATTCTTTATCTTGATCGAATCCTATCAATTTCAAGTCATATAGCAACTGACTATAAGTGATAAGCATTAATTCTCGTATATTATGATTGTTTGAAACCCTTATTGTCTGACTTCGATTATTATAAACGTTATTCAGTCTTTTCAGTATATAGAACCCTAATCTCGTCCTCTACCTGAAGTTGTAGAAAACGTATATCAGCAATAAACGTAAAGAAATAAATTAATACACTGAATAGGAAATTAAATTTACTTATATTATTATCTCTTGCTTTCATATCATCCAAACATGTGTGATGACAACGTCTATGCTACTTACAATGATAGTCTGAACCTTCAGATATACGATCAACCCGTGAATATCAAGTGGCTATTGAGCTAGAACTGTGGCGTGCAGCAGAAGAAGCCAAATTCATTGCTCAATTAAAGAAACGAGAACAGACACTGATGGCTACACTTGCTGAAGAATGGCATAAAAGAGATAGTCAACGCGAAATTATATGTCGTAAAAAGGTAGGTTTCTAGTCATTTCTATCGGTACATAGCATTTACTGGAGAGAATCACGATCCAGTATACTAAAGTTCTTTTAATAGTAGCTAATCAATAAGTGTGAAGATGCCACAAGTACTGGAGTCGACAACACCTTAACCAGCAACGCCTTCTATAATCGAAGCGTGCCCACACAGTAAAATCGGGAGTCAGAAGCGAAGAGGTTCGAAGATATACTTGATAGGTTATCAATATATCGAGAAGTGACTGATCTAAACTGGCTAGCGGTTGTAGAAGTTGAGCACAGCGTCCCCACTCGTGATCTGGTGCAGATGCGTGACCAAGAGCCTTCAGTTAGGTGAGTTAATAAAAACTAATGTGGTCAGCATCAAATGTCGAAGACTTACAGAGCTAGTGATTTCGGGGATTTATTTATTGCTGCAAGTGCTTCTACTTTATAACCTTGCAAGGCCGCTACTGAATTTTATAAACTCCACCTATAATTGGGTTACAAACTTATACATAACTCTCAACGCCTGATTATAATGGTATTTCTTGACACGCTGATATAGTGAGTTGATCAGAAGTAGCCAAATACTGTCAATTGACGATAATCACAAATGACCTGAAGGACAAATGCATATGATTGGCTAGGAAATGGACTCATTTTCTATGGGGCAGAATTATGTATATGAACATTTTGCATGTTATTCGGTATTTCACTTGAACTGATGTACGTACGTACGAAGTTCTACGTTGTTGCTGACTGACTGTTCGGTATTTCAATAGATTTTCTCACTCGCTCAAGTAGTCAATTTTGGAGGTTATTTTAGTATCAGATCACGGACACCCACATAATAATAGAAGATATCATTCAACTATTATTATTATTATTATTAATGGATTTATTCAATATTATATTTTGGTAAAATATAGAATTCTCAGCACAGAGTATTTCAACAAGTTACTTACGAAAAAAAAACAGTAACAAAAACAAAAAAAGGTTTTAAAAAAACGAAAAACTACGAACATGAGGACGATTAGTCAAAATTGTTTGTTATTAAAACGTGTACTGAATAAGTACATAAACTTCGTGATGACTAACAGTGTTGATGAACCCAGATTTAATGATGAAATTCTATTTGGATTGGGAATATTGGATGGTGATTGCCAATGTTACTCACTGTCACCGTATCTGTAAAAAGCTTATTATAGACATACTCTCAGGAATAACGTTTTTTCAATCTAAATTGTGAGGGTTCGATGTTTTACGATGTTATTCACCTATCGACGTGGAATATGCAGATGACTTAGTTCTGCCTAATGAAGATAAAATGCAGTTTTTTGATCTAATTGATAAACAAGACAAGCTTGTCTGGTATTCTTCTCTCTCCGCGTAAATTCGAAATGACTGGTCTGCATCAATCCCTAGTGTTATAATGTTGCGTTAATCATGCTCAATAATCCGACTGTTATATAAAGGATCAGAAATAGGTCTAAACGAAAATTTGTTATTACAAGATACAAAGGGCAGAAAAATAAATTAAAATATGAATATTTACTTGTATCAGACGCGTTTATTTGCATTCTGACAAATCACCGGATTGAAATATCGCATAGTCTAGATATAGGGAGAGGGATAATTGAGTACAGTGATCCATTACTTATTTTGGAAGTTTCGTTAACCTTAGCGAATTGGTGTCTGATGAGACTTCGACACGGATGTCGAAAGTCCGCTTGACATATGCGTTTGCTGAACAACAGACGAGACATAGGTGGTAAAACTGAGACTTGATACCAGTCCATGTCATGTTGCTAGATGTAGACTACTTGGCCGTGGTCCATGCGGTAGCTGCGACCAATCGTTGGTTAGCATGGCTCAGAAGGGATCACAGGCGCGCAGATGCACCCATATTTAATTTCCTCTTAAGTCTTGAGTATTATTTTGTGCTTTCAATTCTTCTTTTTCTTAGAACCATATTATTATTATATAATTTTCACTATCATTGATAATACTGTTATTCCGACCCAGTACTTATTCGTATAGCTGTACCTAAGACCTGGGCTAGGATACAATTGATTATGACTGATTACGAAAAATGAATACAACACTTATGATACGTTTTCATTACCCGCAGCCCCTTATGATAACTGGTGTTTTACAACACTAATTATTAAATTCTTTTACTGAAAACTACTTCTAAATAATATCAGTGTCAAGGATAAGACAATCCATCATGATTGAAATCTTGTTACACAAAAGAACATTAAGTGACGACTGAATCAATCGTATGAACGACCTAGCTTTATTCCATTCAATTACGACTGATAGAAACATAGGGAGGTTAGAATGAAGCACAATTTAATTGTTTTCAGTTTATCAAATTAGTCACTGTATACTACTGTACATGTTTTAGTCCTAAAGTTCTAACTAAGGATACTGGGAATATAATTGTCCGACCAAATGAAACACAATCCAACCAATGAGGTAACGTAGCTCACCATAAAACATGTTAGCCACATAAGTCCCTTACAATACAAGCTGATTTGTCCCAATTAAGTAAACGAATTGACCCAACACAAAATTTAGAATAAGATTTACCTTTTTACCACATTCATAGACCAATGGTTTTCTATATCTCCTGGTTGTGCATAATGGGTCGGTGAATCCCCGTTGACCAAATCTAACAAATTACCGCCTACCCCGAAGAGCTACCTAGACTAAGATAAGGGTACGTTGGGGGGAACACAAGACCTAGATATGGCATTGCTCAACATAGTACTAATTTCTGCTGTCAGGAGCTTCAAATCATAAATAAAGTAATACAGAAACCTCCCTCAGAGCTATCAATGTTAATATTACTCCTAATTTTCAACAACTGATATTACTATTTAAGCCTGCTTTTCATGCGGTCGATTTCTTTTTGTGGTGACGCAGACCGTGACATCTTTCGTCGATGAATATTTGTCTCAGAACCGATATTGTTTATGCTTGACTGATACGACGGAGACTATTCCTAAGTATAATGCAATATAAATACTATGTCTCTTCATCAGTTCTTTTGCATAAATGAGACAATTTAATTTGCTCTTTATCTCACTCTACGTACATTTAGCTTTCTGAATATCAAGCTCTGGAGGAAAAATTGCGCAATACACTCATTGAACTTGCTACTAGAGAGCGTCAGCTAACCGCAGGTGAGGCAGAATTGGTACGCCTGAAACAAGAAAATGCAAGGGAATTGGAAGTTAGACGCAAAGAATTGAATCAACAGTCTCAAGTTCAGATTCGCGATTTAGAAAGTCAGATGAAATTGGAGAAAAAAAACTCTGAACATTGGAAGTCACAAGTAAATTTAATGATACCTCTCCCTTGTAAACTGTAATGTTTTTACTGTTGGCTTTGAATCCAATTTACAGATATACTCTATATAATTATAAATATTGCATTTCTATCTCATTTACAGATAGTTGAATGGCGAAGTAAGTATGCTTCTCTGGAGGAAGAGAATAACAGTTTAAGAAATGAAATAAACTGCAGATTGAAAAAGTCGGTAGATAACAAAGCGTCCAACGAAACACCTTCGATAAACAATGAAGTAGCCCGACTGACTGCAGAATTAGCAGTTGCTCGGGCTACACTATCCGAAACAGAATGCCGTTTAGTTGAAGTAGAACGTGGTCGAGCAAGATACCGTCAGTTATGGACGAAATCTCTGCATGAACTAGCCAAGGTAAAACAAGAAGCAGATGAAGCTACTCGAATTTCACTGGCACAAAAAGAAGCAGAACTTGAACAACTAAAGTCTTACTATTTAAATGTTGATGAAAAACAACCAACTAGCCAAGATTTAAAAGAAGCGACAGACTTGGAACGGTAAGTGAATATTTGGAATGTCTATTAATCAAGTCGGCTCACGTAGTACTACATGAGTGTCCCCTGCTTTTAGAAGAATTTTAATGTAATTTATAGACTAATAGAAAATAAGTTTTAAATGTACCACTTTAAACAGATAAATTGAAGAACTTAAGGCAATTTCAGCGAAGAGAATTTTTCCTTCGATCATAGCATTTGCTAAAACTGTACAATCGTATTTAATAAGTATAAAAATTAGAAATAAAGTAACACAGTCAAGAAGATTATCGTCACTGGATTGATTACCAAGCACAATAAATAACCGTTAAGCTATACCAAATGATATAACCGAAGAGGAAACCCTCGACGATAAGACTATCTTGAATTGTTTCTTAATATGTCAGTAGATGATGCCCAGTTTTATCTAATGCGCTCTACCTCACTGACTACTATTCTGAAAATATTGTAACTTATTCGCGACTAAACTCACCAGTTATTTAGCCGTCTTCTTAGAGTTGACGCTTCAGTTTTGTTGATTATGAGGCTTTTGCACTACAGATAACTTTCTCGGTTTATATTTTTCCTTCTCAAATCATACATATACATATATTTCCTATGCTGAATATGCTTTCCGGTGATTTTCAGCTTTTTGTAACATCTAGTGAACTCAAGCGCCATTAGACCAGAGCTAGGACAATTGCGATAATTTCAATGTTTTTTCCAGAGGACTGAAAGTTCGTATACATACACTCACATTGTTTGCAGTTATGAAGTTGTACTACTAAGTAATCGCTTACAGCGTAACAACCATCAAACATTGAACGATAGGACGTAAATCACTAATACGGATGTTTAATGTTTGACGTAAAACAGAGGGTTATTAGTATCAACGTGGAGCAAAATAAGAACTGTAAAATATATTATTCTCAATCATTTATGCGTTAGAATTTGGACGTAAAAAAATAAATTGGTGTACAACTGCAGTCAGTTGTTCAATATTAGCCAAACAAATTTTTCAACAGGAGTTATTTTATTTTAATCCCTTGCTTCTATGTTTCGTACGGATCCGGATGATTAATACACAATAAATGGACAACAAATATTTGTAGAGTTGATTGACAAGATACAGATAAATACTTTCACGAATATACTGAAATGAGTGACGATTTGAAAATTTTGAGCAATATCTTGAGGTAGGATTAAGTACTGAATGTATTGATACATAAGCTTGGATGGAGTCGTTCTGTTATTGGTCATGGTTTACAATACATCCACAAGACAAGGTGATTAAATGGAAACAGATTCTCAAAGCAATATTAACACTCCAGTACTTCTAGTTACTTATATGTGTAAAGAAGAAGAAGTGTAATAGTTATACGCAACATTAAGGTTTATTACCAAGGTTCAGGAGTTTACCGTTTGGTTTTTTAAAAGTGCATAAATTCTGTTTACTCTCGTTCTAAGTGATTGCTTTTTTTGAAAAAATGTGAACTACATCGCATTTCCCGCTATTTTTCTTGACCGACACTCAACATATTATCTTCCTTTTATAGGTGCACCAACCTAACAAATTAGACTTTTTTAAACTAACTGAATAATTTCTCAAAATTTACTTCCAGATGTGGCTTTACTACAGTAGCTATATATTGTTTTGGTTTTTAGATCCAAAATGAATGAAGAAATGACTACTGAAATAAACGTTTCTGATGTAAAGTCTGTGGTGGATGAGAAAATCGAAGCACAAATTACTCGGCTGATTGAAGAACGTGACGGTCTACTAAATACTGGTGTTTACGAAAATAGTGATTCTTAATTGTTGATCTTGATCGACAAATCAGACACCTTTTAGGGAAAATATAATTCCATCTATTTGCTTTTTAATAAATACAAAGCTGCTTGTAGTCAAACAAGTTGTGTCAAAAAAACTCAAGGAAGCATCCTCATAACCAATGAAGAGTTTATTAAGTTACTAAAGGATGGACTTAATACGTTTGTGAATATGGATGATAGATCTCCACATATAATGAGCTACTAGAAGTTGCCTCCTTTCAATAAAAGATGTGCATATAATCAACGGATGTCATCTCAGATCATATGAACTTGTGGAATAAGCAGTTAGAAATACTCCTGTGAATGGTAATATCTCGCATGGTCATACTGTGGTCCGAGCATTAAGTCAGATTGGTAGTCAGTGATTATGTGGAATTATGTCGAAAACAAAGCAAGATGCACCTCAAAGCACTTGGTGGTAAAGCATGGTTTGCGTGCCTTAACTGCCCTAGCACTTCAAAGGACAGGAAAGAATCCTGAGGAAGTTGAACAGTCGCCTAAGGTGTCCGAAACATTATATTTCACAAGTAACTTCATCAGGCAGCCGTGATCATTTACTCTTAGTTGGTTGTTTATGGGTGTGAAATAGGCTGTTGTATAGCTATACAAATAGACACCTCATTCACCCAACTTATGACAAAACCAAGCGTAAAGAAAGAAGCACGACAGTCCTGGTTCATAGCTTCCCATAAGCCTCGATATAACTCAGTATCCAGGGGAACCTCCAGGAGGTTGTTGTAATTGCTCATTAAGCTTCTCGGTTGACGCTGGCCGGCGACAGGATAAATATTCGGACCGGTGGAACTCGATAGCTTTCCCGATTTTTCTTTATATACCTTCAAATTAAGCACAGGACTTCTATAGAGTTTGAGCTCTTGTAAATTAGATTACCTGAACCCGTGCTTACTTTGAGACACATGAGCATTTCACTTCACCTAGCTTTACTGCAATATCATGATTTTTACAAGCCTAGACCGAATTCGTTATTTATCAGTACAAAGTTGTGATTATTGAGCGTTATTAGAATTACCAAGTGAAAATTATCATGTGGTCAGTAGTGAGTAGTTTAGAGAGGCGATCTTCGGGGTTCTAGTGTGAAGCTGGGACTAGTGTTGTGGGATAATTACCCACCGAAGACAATGGATGGTCGCGCAATATCGCGGAGTGACTGAAGTTAGGTGCCGGAAGAGCGGTCTAAAGGTTAAGCGTTCGCACATGAGAGCAGAGATCTTGTTTGTGATTCCTACGGGTGGTATCATGTATATGCACTGCTGAGGTGCCACCTACTAGGGCGAAACGACCGTCCAATGCTTCCAGGTTTTTAATGGTAGTTAAACACTGGTCGCTTTATGATTTCAACGAGTTCGTCAGCTTATATTTGCAACTAAGCACTTCCCCGTCATGATTTATGAGACAGATAACCATCATTTGCGAATACTTCAATGTCCAGGAATTATTTCTTTTACTGCGGAGAAAAGCGATAAACCGTCCTCACCCTTGAAAAACTATTTCCGAATTTAGTTTACAATAATGGGAACATCACAATTAGGAGAAAAAGTTAAGACAACAATATCGAGGTAGTTACTTAAAACAAAGGGTCTCAGATATACTTCTTATAGGTGAACGATATCGAATTCGGTGGCTCAGAGAAAAACAGGCGAGTGATGCCGACCCATTCGACAAGCAACGGTTTGGATACTTTGGGGTGAAGTACATTGAGCTGAGAAGCTCTCAAGAGTTGTCCGTAAATTGCACGCCAAAATGCGAAATGAATAAATGGAAGTGTTGACAATAGTCGACAGCGTCAATGCTTAATAATTTTAATGTGACAGCTGTATAATTCATCCACAGCGTGGGAAGCTTCATTATTTTGCTTAACACTAACACAACGAAACATGACCAAAGTGAGCTGATACAGCATAGAGACAAACATGGTAACTAGCTCTCAAACTCTAACAATGGTAGCTCACAAAAAAAGTAAATAGCTGTGCTCAGTATAAAACAACATAGTAACGACAGGCCGTAAGTTTAGGACTTGCTAATTTGTTTGATCCGCCAAAGGTCTGTATACTCCTGTCATCTAAAAACGCTTCTGCATTTAGTTATCTTAGTATCTTGTGTGATATTGCCTATCTAATTAGATGAATGCGCAGTGACGTCAGGATAGCCTATCAGGTAGCGCAGGAACTCAATGGCCGTTAGCATATTTACTGAGCACAACTTGGTTTTTACAACTCAGACATGGTTGAGAATTGAGGATAAAAACAGGTAGCAGTGTGTGACCTAAGTGTGAAGACATAATGTGACTTATTCAACGCAACTATAAATGCCTTGAATGAGTGGCGCACCTGTCGAACTAACGACAGGATTTAGAGCTCGTTTTAGAAACCGTTGAAAAACTTCTGATAAGTGCCTTACTAGAAAAAAAATCCCATCGACTCACAAAGACCAAGGTTCACTTACACATCTCAACACCAACCAATCATACAAGTAGCAGCTCGGAAGATGTCTGTCCTTAAGAAAACATCACATTCACGTATCGAGAAATGACGAATGCACAAACAAGTCAGATGTCGGGTTGACAAAACACCAAGGTAGACAAAATGATAAACAGCCACTTCAGTGTAGTGAATATGGACTTCATGCAATTGAAAACAATGTGGGAAATCGCCTCATTGAATAGTAATGGTAGAAGATAGCTACGTTGGGTGCCAACATTTCAAAAAGATTTGTAAAATTATAGTAGCTCATTCTTCCAAACAAAAATGACCGACTAACTACTTCTCAAACGGTGAATGAATGAAAGGCAAAAGCTATCAAAATATTGGGTCAAGAATAGAATTAGAGATTGATTTGTAAAGCGAACGAAATTGTGTATACAGATAATAAATCAGCACACAGCTATAGCTATGTGAAACTAAATCATGTAACAGTTCATTTATTAGACACGCGTTCCGCCAGCCGGTCATAATCTACACGTGCTTCCGATCTCAGATGATATTCCAGAAGTCGCAAGGAAAGAAGCTTATTTACGACACTTAGCTACATAACTATGAATGACCATGATTTTTCGATGCGTGATGAAGACACAAACAACTTTCAAGAGTTTCAGAAATCGTTGTATTACTTTTTATATCACAATACACTACATACTTCAATTATGCTACATCATTTGATTATTCTGCGAGAAAGCCTCTCTAGGAAATAATATTAACGTAATTGTGCTACCTCATAAAAAGCAACTTCTTCATCCGTTATCCTTTTCCTCCGAAACTTCGGGTTAATAAGAGAGGCTTCTACTGCCAACTCTGGAGGCACTGATGACTTCACAACAAAAGTTGAGTTGATGCGAGTTTGTGAATCCCCAGAATTTCTCGAACTTGAAGAGAACATATGTTAGTCGTACAAATTACATGTTTATGGAGTTTTTCAACTGACTGCGGAACTTTATTAGTGGCACATGTTTCTTAATCTAAGGGACAGCTATAATAGTTACATTTATCTCACCAGGACAGTCAGACTAGACATTTTCAAATGACCGCGTGTTTCTGCAATGCACAGTGGCTACGTACATGTTGTGAATTAACTTTGGAGAATTGAAATTATTGCCTAAAAAGCATACTTGATTCACTTAAACTTGAGTTATTTTGCCTATGGTTTGAAATTTTCTTCTATCCGTTTTGTGCTGAACTACACCCCAAAGTCTTGAAACTAGTTTAAATGGTTCAAATGGTTTTGGACGGAATAGAAGAAGCTTAACAGGCTTCCGTGTCTAGTGGCAGGGGATCACCAAATCCTCCAGGCAGGAACCTAGGTATGTTAACAATAAAAGAGGAAAAGAAATTGGTAAATCATAGTGTGATCTTTTGACGAGGAAACGTTTCGAATTTTATATCCCACCTATATAAGACCACACTTGGAGTACTGTATCCAAGCAGCTAGCCCGTGTCTGGTGAAGGATACTAACTCCCTTGAGCGTGTCCAGCGTGTAGGAACGAAATTGGTGAAGGGTCTTTCTACACTCCCTTACGATGAGCGTTTAAAACGCCTAAATCTTTTCGCCTTGTCGTATCGTAGGACACGTGGTGACCTTATACTGGCATTTCGTACCTTTAATTATGATTTGGGTGTTAATGTCTTATCTTTTTGCTCCATCCAGCACTAATAATCTCCGAGGTCATAGCAAGAAGGTTCATAAACCGCGATCTAATAAACTTAAAGTGGGGTCCCGTTTTTCTCATCGAGTAGTCAGTGATTGGAACGCCTTACTCGAACAAGTGGTATCAGCCCCATCAGTGAATATTTTCAAGAAGTTGGACCTTCACTGGAAGGTAGTCTTTCAGGGTTAACACATGTTCACCAGCCTACCATCCTTATTACTGAAGACTGAAGTCTGTGATGCTGTCCTTGGTCCCTAAGAATAGGTCAAGTTGTCTCTTGAAGGACTCCTGAGAAGTCGCTTGGACTAGCTCGGACGACAGCGAATTCTAGCTTCTGATAACTCTTAAGGAGTAGACGTTATGTCTACATTCCGTTTTGCTATGTTGTGTCTCCAGTTTCTGGGTGTTACCCCTTAGTCTAGTGTTGGAACTAAGCTTAAGTAGGTGTTTAAGGGGATGTCCTGAAGTGTTAAGAATATTATAAGCCATCAGAAGATCACCTCTAAGACGCCTATACTCTAATGGGTAAAGGTCTAGTGAATGGAGGCGCTCTTCGTAAGGCTTAGATTTGAGTCCTCGAACTGATTTCGTGGCTCGCCGTTGGATACTCTCCAAAGTGTCCTTATTCTTTTGGAGTGTGTGAGGAAATACTATGTTTCCGTACTCTAAATGAGGACGGATAAAACTATTGAAGATTATATAAAAAGTTCTCTCGTCAAACTGGCCAAAAATGCGCTTCAATGTTACCAGTGCAAGGTTTGCTCGGAAGGCATTTTCGTCACAGTTAGCGTAAGACTTTAAATCGTAGGGCACCAGGACTCCT